GGTTTTGATTAGCACCAAGCCCTTCGCCTGACAAAGGCGGCCGTATTTTTAGTTCAAGGGGAAAACGGATTAAATCTGGTTTTAACCAACATGAAACGAGGACCCGATGGGCACCAAACCCAAACCAACAAACCCATTTCACCAGTTTCAGTCCGGCCGGTTTCGTACCTGAAACCAGAACCCCCGGAGGCAGCGTGCTAGAGCAATTGTTGGGTTGAAAAATGAGAAAAGAAGGGTCACTAGACGTGTGTGAAAGCACCTACAGACACGCACTGACCTTCTGGATCCTTCTCACGCCAAGAAGGATGCGCAGGAAGGTGGTCCATCTGACCAGCAAAGTGTTTTTTTCATGGAAACTCCAAAACCACCTTTTTGTGAGCAGAAGACACAAGAGTATGGTCTGACCCTGCTGCAAAGTGCCATCAGGACACGTGGGGTGACCCCAGCCCTGCTCCCTCCCCTCCGAACCCCACAGCATGATTTAACCATCACCACCCCACTGAAGAGCCTGGCCGACCTCATGCTCCAACAATACCACGTGCTTTGGCCCTCTGGACACCACATTTTGCAGTATTTCATGGTATTTCAAGCAAGTTTCTGCCCGTACTGCGCAGGCACAGGGTTTTGCTGAGCAGAGCTTCTCCCTCACCCCAATTCTTGTTCAATAAAACAAATGGAAAACTCAGCAGGTCATTAAATAAAACCATTCTTTCTACTCCCACACAAAAGCTGTGGGCTTTGCATCACAAAATTGAATGCAGCTCCCATATAATTTTTGCTGTGAGGCTGGAATGGGCTTTCTGCAAAACTCGCCCCTAAGCCAAGCGGTTCTCCGGGGGGGGAACACCCTCCAAATAAAGCTCCCCTCCAAATAAAGTTACCTGCCTCGTGCCCGGTGACTGCAAAGTGCCCCAAACCACAGCTGAGTAACGAGGAAAAATGTGATGCAAAAGAGAAGCTGAAATACCAAGGCAGGACGTTATACGCTGTTCCATTAAAGTATCTTGAATATATCTATTTAGGTTGAAAATGTGATTTCTTTACTGGGTCTCAGATTTATTTACACCCCGATTCTGCAAAGCCCCTTTTGCCGCGCGCAGATGAGCAATTTTTGCTGGTCTCTGCTGATCTGAACATTTGTGAGCTCAGGGCTTAGAGCCAAAATGCACAAGTCGGGTGCCCAGGGCCCGTCTCCTAAACCCACGCCTTGGCCTTTGAACAAGGGTGGGCTCTGTTCGCGGCACTGCCCGCAGCCCGTGCCTGGGGAAGCCGCTCAGAGCCTCTCAAAGCAAAGTCTCTCTTATTTAGGATGTTTCTTTAACACAACCAAGTTTGCATTTTCTGCTGTGGAGCGTTTACAAGTTCCCCATTTAAGGGCAACCCATGCTCTCACCACATGGCCTGGGCGAACTGCCTGCAGGACCGGGGGCTTCTTCTCCCCCACGTCGTCGCACAAGAACACACAAGGTATGTGTTACAGGACAGGAAGCCACTGGTTGCATTATATTTAGCTTCAAAGGCTGTAACCCTTTCAGAAATTAAAATAACCCAGCCTTTGTTGCTCGGGCAGGGCTTTGATGGTGGAATTCCCAGCGCAGCTTCTCAACTACTTAGTCATAAAAATAAACCACTTCTCATTGAAACCAAAACCCCCTTCACATGTGCAAACTCGGGTCCCACGTTCCTGAGGATTTCTTACAGCGAAGGGGAGAGCGAGGAGCCAGGGCCTTGGCTGGGGTCCTCTTAAAAATCAGTTTATTCCACTCCTGGGGTGACATGAAAGAGATTTTGGGGGGGGGAGGGGGTTCATCGGGAGCAGCCCAGGAAGCGAAATCACGGCAAACTCATTTAGTAATTGGCTTTATTCCTGGGAGCTGGGCAGGACGAGCTGCTCGGGAAGTAAAACTGATTTCTCCGGTTCATCCCCGCCGGCAGGACCGGGGTGGGGGGGGGTTGGTTCCCGGGATCCTTGCCCTCTCCGGTGGGGAGCAGGGACCGGCAACCGGGCGGGACATCCCCGACCCCCCCAAAACTCCCTCCCCGCAGCCTCCCCCGGGAAGGAGGGATGGGAACGGCCCCCCATCCCCATCCCCCCCGCATCCCTCCCGTCCCACCGCATCCCCCCCACCCCGGGGGATCGCTCCCACCCAGCACCTTGGCAGAGAGTCACGGAACGGTTTGGGGGGGAAGGGACCTGAAAGCCCATCCCGTCCCACCCCCCGCCCTCGGGTGATGGACACCTCCCACCAGCCCAGGTTGCTCCAAGCCCCCTCCAACCTGCCCTTGAACCCCTCCAGGGATGGAGCAGCCACAGCTTCTCTGGGCAACCTGGGCCAGGCTCTCACCACCCTCAGAGTGCAAAATTTCTTCCTAAATCTCATCTCAGTCTCCCCTCTTTCAGGGTCAAACCCTTCCCCCTCCTCCTAGGGCTCCCCTCCCTCATCAAGAGTCCCTCCCCATCTCTCCTGGAGCCCCTTGAGGGACTGGAAGGGGCTCCAAGGTCTCCCTGGAGCCTTCTCTTCTCCAGGCTGAACCCCCCCAACTCTCTCAGCCCCCACTCCCAGCAGAGGGGCTCCAGCCCTCCCAGCATCTCCGGGATCTCCTCTGGCCCCGCTCCAACAGCTCTGTGTCCTTCTGATGGTGGTGGCCCCAGAGCTGGAGGCAGCACTGGGGGGTGTCTCCCCAGAGAGGACCAGGGGGGCAGAATCCCCCCCTCACCCTGCTGGCCACACTGCTGGGGATGCAGCCCGGGATGCTGGGGGCTTTCTGGGCTCCAGTGCACGTTGCTGGGGCCTGTTGAGCTCCTCATCCACCAACACCCCCAAGTCCTTCTCCTCAGGGCTGCTCTCCAGCCATTCCCCACCCAGCCTGGATTTGTGCTTGGGGTTGCCCTGACCCATGTGTAGGACCTTGCACTTGGTCTTGTTAAACTTAATGAGGTTCACCCAGGTCCACCTCTCCAGCCTCTCGTGATCCTCGTTCTTGCCACGCACGACCCCATGGTATGTGTGCCCACAACCAACCTTTCTGCCATGCGTGTCCCCAAGAAACACCCACAGACAAGGGGCTCTTCTCAAAACCAGCCCCATCATCCAGCAGAAATGCTCTGCACGTGGCCCAGGTTTGGGGTACCTTCCTCACGTGCCACCTGGCTGGAGCCCAGCCCGTCCTTGTGTATGCATCAGCCCTTTGGGGGACCCTCCCAGAAGGCACCGAACTCCTGGTGGCTCTCAGTCTTGTGCAGGGGATGGTTTTGGACATGATCAGCATCTCCATCCAAACTGTGGATCCTGCAGGTGCCTGGTGACCACGAGGGTGGCAGGACTGGCTGCATGGGGCTGTGAAACAGCTCCGTGTACCCCCATATACCCCGTGGACTCGATGATCTCGGAGGTCACTTCCAACCACTAAGATTCTGTGTGATTCTGTGTCAGGGATGGGCTCTGCCATGTCCTTCTTGACCAACAGCTCCAAGGATCAGGCAGGTCTCTGCTGCTGGTGGCTGGGGCTGCGCTGAGAGTCCTTCTGAAATTGGGGAACTTTCCCACATGACACTTTGCTGTCCCACCACAGGAGCTCAGCCGCCGAAGCACACACAAGGCACAGCACACCACGGGCTCCAACAGTGGTTTCACTCTCGGGATGAGTCTGCTGATCCTCCAAACAATCTGCCCTCGTGCTCAGAGCCCCCCCTGACCCCAGCTTCATCAAATTCTGCAGCCCATTCACCTCGGGCTGCACCAAGGGAGCTTTGCAGCAGCAAGGAGCACAAAGCAGAACTTGCAAGATCAGACAGGAGGCATTTTACACCCCCCAGGACCTTGCCAAGCTGCAATCCCACCCCTACCACTACCCTACCAATCCCACCCCTTGTGGCCTTGAGCAACCTGCTCTAGTGGGAGGTGTCTCCCTGCCCATGGCAGGAGGGTTGGAACTTGATGATCTTTGAGGTCCCTTCCAACCCTAACCATTCTAGGATTCTACCAAAGCTTCTGGCTTGTCCACCAGTCCCAGCAGCACCAGCAGAGTGTGACCAGCCCCTGTGCATTGCCCACCACCGGTTCCTCCTTGCCTCAGTGTCTGCAGCCCTTGTCTGGTGTAACCCTGGCCCAGCAGTCGGTGTGTTCCTTCTTCTGGGAGGGTGCCATGCCCTGAGCATCCTGGGGCACCTCTAAAACCAGAATCTCCAGCCCAAGAGCCCTGCAACACACCCAGGGGACACCACAGCTCCTGCAAGCTGAAGTTTGCTCTCGAGCTAAAGGTGGGCATTCCCCAGGGCAGGAATGCTTGGAGCAGTGATGGGGTGCTACGGCACGGGCCTTGGTGTGCCCCAAGCCAAGCAGCTCACCCTGCGTGGCCACCAGGTCCTCTGGCTACGTGTTTAGGAGATCTCAGCACAACATAGAGCAGGCAGCCGAGCAGAGCTTCGGGGGCTCTCAGGAAGCAGAGGAAGAATGGGGCTATAATAAGAGCAGGACAATGAGTGCTGGCAGCACACAGGAGCAGCACAGCACTCGTGGGGCCACCCAGCAACCATGTGCCACCATAGACACTTGCTCCTGGCCCTGGCCACCTCCCTGGGGTTCGGCTTTCCAATTCCCTCTGTAAGAAGCCAAGGTTCTTTTGGTTTTTTTTGCAGGTCCCAGTGGACAGGCGGCTCCTCTGCAAGCCTGGGTGACAGCTCGGTGCCTGCCTGCCTTTGGGAGACCGACATTGCCACCTTGTGATGGATGGTGACCCTCATGACAGCCAGCCCGGCTCTGCTTTCCACCAGGAGCTCCCCTTTCTGTCCCCACTGCTGGAAACAAAAGAGTAAGGAGGCCCAGCACAGGCACTGGCCACCAGTGGAGCCTGACAGGTTCAGCCCCAATGATCCTCCAAGGATCCGGGAGGACCTGGGTCCATCTCAAGCCAGAGCACTCAGGGTGATGCTCTCCCACCAACGGGTCCCAGCCTGAACACGTAAGATCTGCCCAAAAGCACACAAGGGATGGCCAAGCTTTTTCCTTTGCACTGTCTTTATTTTTACAGGTTGACACTAGGCATGGAGGACATCCAAACACTACGACAAAAGGCCTGTTTGCCTGAGCCCACACACCAGACCTAAATTCACGTTGCTACACAGACCAAAAACAAATGGGAAACGAGACACGGAACGCACAGAGCTTCAGTCTCCTGGGAGGGAAAGGGACAGGACCGGCTCGGCAAACACGTCTGCCACGTGGGAGAATGAAGCCTTGAAGGCTTCCCGGAGCCAACAGGGATAGAATAACCTGAAACGTGGGGCCGAGTCCCTCAGGAGGCATCTTGGAGCGAGCAGGCTGGGGAGGAGGCTACATGTTACGCCTACCTAGGTGGCAAGATTGCAGGTTGAGGGCCTATGCTTCACCACTAGGAATAGCTCGTGTGTCTGGGGACCCCCTTAGCTGAAGGGGAGGCCCAGGGGCCAGTTGCATGTAACCCATTAGCTGCCAAGCATCTGCACCGCGAGGAAAGCCCTATCTCCACCACTCAGCGGGCACCGGGGTCAGCTGAGCACCACACACACAACGTTCCCACCACACAACCCCTCTCATCCTCCTTCACGAACTCCTCTTCAGCCTCAGGGCATTGTCCAGGGCGACCAGCTGGCGCAAGAAACCCCGGTTGGGGATGATACCGCGGTGGTCCTTGACCGTCTTTATGGCTTCTACAAGGGGCATGTGGTGGCGGATCATGAGGTAGGCGAGGACCAAGGTGGCCGACCTGCTCACCCCGACAGCACAGTGCACAAGGATCCTTCCTGGGGGTGAAACACAGGGGCTGTGTCACAGCAGACCACTTATCCCAATTAAAAAAATTACCGAGAACCCAACTGTTTGCCTTGGTGAGTCCTGGAGCTGTAGGGCCCCCCAACTCCTTGAAAGGAGGTTGTAGAGAAGTGGGGGTTGGTCTGTTCTCCCAAGTCACAGGCGATGGGACAAGAGGAAATGGCCTCAAGTTACACCAGGGGAGGTTCAGGCTGGATATTAGGAAAAATTTTTTCACCCAAAGAGGTATCAGTCATTGGAATGGGCTGCCCAGGGAGGTGGTTGAGGCCCCATCCCTGGAGGTGTTCAAAAGACGGGTTGATGTAGTGCTGGGAGGTATGGTTTAGTGATGGTGTTGCTTTTTGTTTGTTGTGTGGGTGTTTATTTTTGTCCAAAATTAGGTTGACAGTTGGACAAAGTGATCTTTAAGGTCCCTTCCAACCTAGAAGATTCTGTGATTCTATGACTATGCTGCACTGCTGTCCCCCTCTTGGCAAAGGGTATCACATGTACCATGACCTCCAAAACCAGCCTGAATAGGACCAGTCACAGCTCAGGACACAGCTTGGGGCTGCGACCTGGGGGGCCAGCGCTCTCATCTAGCCTGTTCCCTCTTTGGAGGAGGTGATCCAGTGCAGAAGGCACCACCCCAGGCTAGAAATACCTTTGTTTTCTAGGATGGTTAGCAATAGGATGTCAATCCAGCTTCCCACCTGCTCAGGGCAGTTTCTTCCCATCCCAGCTCCCCACTTCTCCCCCAGAAACCTTTCCCACTGACCTTCATTCAGCGCTTGGTGGATGAAGTCAGCTGCAGGATAAAAGTAGGGGCTCATGTCAAAGGAAGGCGAGTCGTGGGCCTCGATGCCCAGGTAGCGGATGCCCGTGCCCTCGTAGTACTCGGCACCCCCCCTCCACTTGCTGTGCGAGGCGTTGAGGATGTGGGTGATGCGGAGGTGAGCCAGCTCCCGCCGGTTGGCAGCTATATCTCTGCAGAGAGCCAGAAACAGAGCACAGATTCAGAAGTTTAGACCAGTTAAATTTTCTAAAAGACAGCCTAAGGGCTGTTCTGGACAAGTGTATACGTCTGAGAAAGCTGGACGCAAAGGAAAAATGCCAGACTCTTAATATTCTGGAATTTGAAGTCAATCTCTGATTCCACGGGCACATCACCTCTGCCAACCCCACCACAGCAGTGGTCTGAACTCTCTGCAGTCCTCATGTCCTTCCTCTTCCTTTGTCCCAATGTACCTCACCCGTCACATCCTCCTCTCCCTCGCTTAGAATCATAGAATCATAGAATGGTCTAGGTTGGAAGAGACCCTTGGGATCACCGAGTCCAACCATCTCCCCTACTCTACAAAGTCCTCCCCTACACCATGTCCCTCAGCACTGCATCTAAACGGCCCTTAAACACAGCCAGGGATGGGGACTCCACCCCCTCCCTGGGCAGCCTGTTCCAACGCCCGACCACTCTTTCAGTGAAAAATTCTTTCCTAATGTTCAATCTAAACCTACCCTGTTGGAGCTTGAAGCCGTTCCCTCTCGTTCTGTCACTAATTACCTGCTTCCCCCAACCTCCCCCTCCCAGATTTCCCCGTTTCACAAAAATACCCCACCCCCCCAGCCCCCCCAGTTCTCATCCCATTCTGATACGTACTGATCTCCCAGGTAGAGTCCTGGCCAGACCTCATCAGCGTGATTACAGGCTGTCTTTCCTGTGTACAGCAGCCTTTCCAGCTCGAAGACGCTGAGGATGGGGTGGCTGTGGCGCTCTTCCCGCGAGCCCCGGCTCGGTGACCTGGTGCCATTCCTGGAGAACCGGGACAGGAAAGCCATTGGAGCTGCCGAGACCCACAAGGCATACCTGTGGGTTCGTGAAGGCCGGAGAGCGGCCTGGAGGTCGCTTCTGCTGCTGCTGCCACCCACGGTCCTGTCATGGAAGCAGTGAAGATGCCATTAGAAGAACCGAGGACCTCTCACTCCGTCCCTTTTGTAGAAACACCGGCCCAAAGCAGCCAATTCTCACCTTCCTGATGAGAGGGCTGTGTCAAGTCATCTACCCAGTGGTTCCCAGCGTGAGACAGCGTTATCACCTCCTTCCAAGAAGCAATACTGCTGGGGAGAGGTTTACGATGCCAGGGCTGGTGAGGGAAACCAGAGAGGCAGCCAGATTGCTGAGTCTCCACAGGCTGAGGTTTTGCTCCAGCCCCACGATTTTGGGTTGAGGCCACGTTGGCAAGAGATGTTCTACACAGGGCCACCTTCCTTCTGAGCTGGCTCTGGGGCTTTGCCTGCCAGCGGGACAATGCCAGCTCGAGAACTGATGCTGCCAACCTGCGATCAGAAGCAATGAAAGGCGGCCAGGTCTGGGCAAACCACCAGGACTGGGGAGGAGAAACCCCCAAACAGGTGGAGGATTCCATATGGCACCACGCAGAGCCTGGCCAGGACCCAGACTCCTCCGGACCAGGCACAAAAGCCTGTGGGGAGGGAGAGGCAGGATTAACCCCTCCAAGTACCGCGGTCCTGCCGCTGCATTTGAACATCTAGGACTGGTTTGGGGTGGGAAGAGTTAATTTCAGGGGATGAGAAAGCTCGTTTTGCAGAGTGGATCCTCTAGGACACATGCTCTGCTCTCAAACCTTTAGATCATGCCGATCTGCAAGAAACCTCCCTGGACAGCCTTACCCAGGCGGAGCAGTTCACAGTCCCTGCAGCCAGATGTTTGTCAGAGATGCCTTTTTTGCCTTTTTTTTTCTTCCCCACTCCTTCGCTGCTGCCCCACTGACAGAAACCCCCACCACACACACACATGAGAATACAATTCTCTTTCCCATTGTCACTGCTGCTGCCCTGGAAGGTGTCCAAAGAGCATCCCATGGCAGCCCCCCCCCAGCAGCAGCCAGTTGTCCCTGGGAAATGCAGCGACCTTGGGCTGGCCAGGCTGGATCAGAGCACGTCTGTCTGCTTTGACATTTTGCCTAAGGCTCCGGCCAGCAGCCAACGGTGCAGAAGGAAGAAGCCTCCAGCCATTTCTTGGCAACGTGCAGAGGAGGAAAAAACATTGCAAGGGCATGGGGGAGCTCAGAGGGAATCCAGAGGGACTCATGGATGTCTCCCTTCCCCACTCAGACCCTGCCTGGCACCCCGGGGTGCTTCACAGGAGGGATCAGCCCTGCCCACGCTGCTCATCCCCGGCACCGAGCACACCACAGTCCCCAGCACGGGGTACCCAGATCTCACCCTGACACCTCTCCCCTGCCCTGATCAATTTTGGACTCCTTCACGCCGGGAATTCAGACTTGGCAAACCCCACCTGGAAAAGGCATTCAGCACGGCCATGTTTCGGGGCCCTTAAACCTTGTGCGACCTTGGCTGCAGCACAGCCACATGCCACCCGCCCCGGGCAGCACCGAGGAACAAAACAGCAGAAGGGGCTGAAAAAAAGCAACCAAATCATCCGTGTAAGGCTGTAACTGGCCAAATAGCAGACCCTCTCACTGCTACAGCTGGCTGGAAAAACAGCAATCCGCACCTACCCCGGGGTGTATCTCTAGAAACCTCGGGCCCAAAGCTGCCTTCCAGCATCCCACCCCCAGCACCCCACCGCGCCAGCCTCCCCAGAGCGCTACAGGGCAAGAGAAACTGCCCCACATCCAAGACCTCAGAACTAACCCAAAAGCACTCCTAGCACCCAAAATCCTCCCAGGCATCAGCTGTAACCCCCCAGTTTGGTAGCCAAGCCCTGGGGGCTCGCACCCCGCTCCCCTGAGCCCACTCATGGCTGCCTGCAGAGCCCCTCTGCCAGTCGTGCCGTGCTGGGAGGGAGGGGAGCAGCAGCCAGAGCCTGCCTCGATGCACAGAGAGAGCTCTGAAGAGGCATCTCTGAAGGAGAGCAGGCTGCTCGGCCCCGCACACTCGGCAGAGACAGACAGACAGACAGGCAGGAGGGAGGAGACGCCCACCCCCTTATACTCTACCTTTGCCAGAGCTGGGATTTCTGGGCTCGGAGGCAGCGTCGCAGTCAGATCCAGTCGGCCATGTCTTCCCTCCGCCGCCGCCGCCGCTGTAGAAAGGCTGATGTATGAACATCTATTTTAAGCCATGACATGTCCAGAGGCAGGTTTGTTTATATCATGCTGTGCATGGATGGATAAGGGAGGAAAGGAGGGAGAGGGACACAAACACAGAGACGGCATGCGAGCACGCACAGACACACACACACACAAGTGCCCATTACTACGCAGAGAGAAACAACAGCAACAACAACATATCAAAATTCTCCTGCCAGCTTTTCTCTCACTCCTCCTCCAGCAAACCAAAAGCCACAGGCGTGCAGAGAAGGAGAGAAGAAAAAGCCGAGAAAGCGGTGCCGATGACACGATTTACCCATATCATAAATCCCTAGCTGTCTCTAGAGGATGCTTCTTCATGTTTTTATTTACAGCTGACCTTGTCCTCCCCCCTCGCCAGGGTCTCTTTGGCAGAGCCAGGGCTTGGTGACATTTTCTTCATTTGCGAAGAAAATAAGCCTGGGGGGGATGTATGTGGTGAGATGACAAAGTATTTACAAATTCATGTCAAAGTCAGGGAATACTTTTTTTTTTTCTGGAAGAAAAAAAAAAAAAAAAGAAGAAACTCAAATGATTGAAGCTTTTTGTTTTGACATTTTCTAAATGACACCATTCATTTCAGAAGTGCTGCAATATTTCAGTTAAACGTTTTCCAGGCAGAATATTCGCCTTTTCCCTTTGAAGTGCTGGCTTTCAATTTAAAAGTTTGACTCAAATCAGAAAGTAGGAGTGTGGTGGGAAAAACAACCTGAGGAAGAATCCAAACATGCTGTTCCAGGCCAAACGACACATCCTAAGAAGATTTATGGCATTCCCTCCCACGCTCCTGGTTCATTAAAACCCTGGAAAATTTCCTGGTTTGTTTTCAGCTTAACTTGGGGTTACCCCAGGATGCAACCTCAGAAGCTTCAAGGATGACCTCAGTGTCACCAGATACCCATCCTGACCCCCCTGCACCGCACTATGTGCTCGTGATGAAGTTTGGTGGGGTTTTTTCAATAGGAGGGTCCAATGGAGGGTCCCAGGAGGGCAGCCTCAAAGCAGCACACACCTCTCAGTGTACCACAGGCCTGGTATTTCCCCCCCCCCATCATGCAATAGCTAAACCACAGGGTTGTCAGGAGCTGTACTGGAGGTTAACAGCAAACACGGGTTCAAAAAGACTTTGAACACACCTGGATTTCAGACCTCTCAGCCTTCCCCATGAAGTTCTGGCTACAGCTTCAGCCCAGGAAGTTGGTAACCCCCCCCAGAAGCTGGAGGAGATGCTCAGGAAGGAGTTTGGGATATACCCTGCTCTTCAGTGCTTTCCCCAGGCAGTAACTCCTGGCTGCTGTGGGAGCTGGGTACCAGGGTGATGGACTCTGTCTGTTCCAGTTCCTTTGCACCTGTAGAAATATTCACCTGGTGCTAACAAGTCCCAGGAGAGACCCACGTGAGGACTAACAGTTGCAGATCCAGGGGGTCCCCATAAGCCCTCCTGCCAGTTACACTCACCCGATCCTCAGGGAACAGAGGCTCTGGCTCTGTCCATCCCAAATGCTCCTCATCCAACAGCTCCACTGTGCCAATAACCCAGCCCTAACTGACTCCACGTCCACCAGCCACGCTGGGGCACCAGATGGGACGTGTCAGGTAGCCCCATTGCCACCAGCTCCAGGCACAGAGAGCCAGAGCTACCAGGTACAGCCCTGCAGGCTGGCCAGGAGCAGCCTTTTCCCTCTCCTGGCACAGCTTCCAAAAGTTCCTGCCCTCAAGAAATGCTGCCCTGTCACCAGCTGCCTCTGCTCCCAGGCAACAGGCAGCGAGGAGCCGTTGCTGAGCCCACCCTTTGGCTCCTGTTTAACACATGAGAAGAAACACCCAGAGACCTGATTTATCCCCTTCCTCCACTGTTTGCTCCAGCTCCTCCATGCCCAGACTCCCAGGGGTGCAGAGACACCAGCAAGGACAGACCTCAGGAGATCCTGGGTGAGGGTTGGTCCTCTCTGAGCCACCAGCATTTCCCTGCTGTGTGATGCTGCCAGTTTGGGAAATGCCTCTCCTGTGCCCAGAATAAGGCGTTTGGATCCACTTGCCTCACAGAATCACAGAATCTTCTAGGTTGGAAGGGACCTTAAAGAGTCCTGTGCCCAGAATAAGGGGTTTGGATCCACTTACCTGCAAAAATGTTGAGCTTTTCACTCCTGCCTGGCAGTGCTCCTTTGAAAAAACAGGGGTCGAGTGACCTAAAAGGAAATTTGGACCTTCTAGACAAACTGACAAAAATAGACACCCACACAACAAACAAGGAGCATCATCACTAAACCATACCTCCCAGCACCTCCCAACCTGGAGAAAGGTTGAGCTTTTCACTCCTGCCTGGCAGTGCTCCTCTGAAAAAAACAGGGGTCGAGTGACCTAAAAGGAAATTTGGACCTTCAGAGCTCTGTGAGACACCCTTAACGTGGACAAGCAGAGGCCCTCTCCCTCCCCTGCACCAAGGAATTAGGTTCCCAGTGGTCTGTAAAAGGCACTTCTCAACAGAAGTGCCTACAACCCCCATCACAAAAGGTTAAATCCGAATTTAAAAAGCCGACATGAAATAAAATTAGGTGGATAAATGTTTTGGCAGAGCATTGCCTGCAGGGAACTTACTGGTCATTTAAACAGAGGATTAGTAGTTGTTATGTTTTTATTCCAATAATAATACTGGAATTGCTTTGTAAAGCAGCCAGAAGTCCCCAACAAAGCCAGTGACTGCTTCTTAGATAATGAAATCTCAGATGCTTTGAAATGCTTGGGCAGCTGCATCAAGGAGAAGTGTCAGCAATCTATCTTTCTATAAAGGAAGTTTCTTAGACACAAACCAGACCTCTCTGCCTCACCTCCTCTCCTTGTTTTCCATAAACATCAGTGCTGTAGCAGAGACGGAGCTGCTCCTTGCTCCCCAGTAGGATTTATGAGCTCGGTACATCACTTCTGAAGGTCCTGTCCTTGAAGACAGGAGGTCACTGAGGCGCTGGATCGGGGCTGCAGGCTCGGCAGGGGCACAAACGCTGGTTGGGGTTTGTTGTGACTTTCACATCCATCTCACTCCGTTTCCCCATCTCCTTCCAATCACCTCCAGGTCGGAGTCCTGTCTCTCACCTGTTTTGCCCTGAAGGGCCCTGAGAAGCAAAAATCCCTCTGAGAACTTATCACCAAGACACAGGGAGAGAACTTAAAAGACAAACCCCAAAACACTCTCTCCTCCTGGCAGCGATTCTCTGAAACCCGTTCCCTCTGGGCCACATCCAGCTGCAGGAAAGGAAAAAGGTGTCCTGCAACCTCACTTCCCTGGGGGCTTTATCACTCCGTGATGCCTGAGCCCTTAATTGAGATGGATCACCTGGTCCTGGGCAGATAACGATTATTTGGGAGCACAGAGAGGTGGGTCTGGCTTCCCCCAGCGATGGGCACCACCCCAGAGAGCACCTATGGGGCTGGGTAGTTTAAGGACAGCACCAGCAGAGATTTCCTCTGTCCCCTGACTGGCAGACCTGCCTGCTGTGGAGGGTGCTGCTGGTACACTGGGGGTGGGACGCTGGCACAGGCAGCGATGATATCCCCGTATCTCAGCTATTGTCACAAACTGCTGTGCACAGCAGGCCCGCGGCAGCCAGGATGGAGCAGCTGTTTTCAGCTCAATTAAGGAGGAAATCGGCTCCCAGCAGAATAAGCAGGGCACCCGCTGCTCCCAGCTCTCCCCCCTCCTCCTAGGCTGAGCCTGGAGAGGGGAGGAATCAGGTATTTGGGAGCACAGAGAGGTAGGTCTGGCTTCACCCAGCGATGGGCACCACCCCAGAGAGCACCTATGGGGCTGGGTAGTTTAAGGATAGCACCAGCAGAGATTTCCTCTGTCCCCTGACTGGCAGACCTGCCTGCTGTGGAGGGTGCTGCTGGTACACTGGGGGTGGGACGCTGGCACAGGCAGCGATGATATCCCCGTATCTCAGCTATTGTCACAAACTGCTGTGCACAGCAGGCCCGCGGCAGCCAGGATGGAGCAGCTGTTTTCAGCTCAATTAAGGAGGAAATCGGCTCCCAGCAGAATAAGCAGGGCACCCGCTGCTCCCGGCTCTCCCCCCTCCTCCTAGGCTGAGCTTGGAGAGGGGAGGAATCAGGGTCGGGGTCTGCAAAACCCCACAAGTGAGGGAAAGATAAAGGGCTGCTTGGAAAAGTTCACAGATCCAACCACTGGAGGCTGCTCTGGTTATACATAAATCACCACCCAGCGCATCGTCAGACACGGAAAACTCAACACAAGGAAATAAAGGGCAGGGGTTAGAGAGTTTCAGAGCCGCTATTTTCTGGCTTTATACTCCCCATGCATGCAAATTCACCATGGTCTTCACAGCTCTACTTTAAAGATCAGAGATCAATCACTTCATGCACTAAATGCTGCGTGTCCAAAAGCCACCTGGAAGGCACGGGAGCCAGACTTTATTATATTCAATCATAAACAGAAAGAAAATATGTATTTCATCCAACATGTGCTATTTGATAGACCCACTGCAGAGGAGGGCGGCAGAGGGAGGGAGGGCAGAGGGCACAGATAGCTGCAGCATATCAAGGTAAAATTAAGCCTACTATAAGTTAACAGTCAGGGTAAGGAGGTGGCATCGTTGAAAAGGGTAGTGCAGGATGACAGAGCAGCATCACAGCCACATACTGAAAGGGGTTTGAATAAATGTGATTTATTTGGCACTGGAACTGCCCAGGAGGAATTACACTCAGCTGAGGGGGCAATAACTACCAACTGGGGGAGGTAAGCCCTCCACTCACATTGGTGGCACAAGCTCTTCTCTGACTGCACCACGGGTGAAGCACGATAAAGGTGATGTCCAGCGCAGGCTGCCTCAGAATATATCATAGAAAATTCATCTGAAAAGGCTAAGGTCATGTCGCCAGTCAATCCAAGGTGGGATTGACTCTCTGTCAAAGTCATGAAGTAATAAAGAGTAATCTTCACCCTCTACTCGCTCACATTTAGGTCAAGGATAAAGATTTCTTTTTGGGCTCCATACATGCTCTAGTCTGCAAGGAAATGGTGACCACCCTGCTGGGGGCTTTCCCCGAGTGCAGCCCTTCCTCCTCACCCTCAGCACCTCTGGGACAGAAGCTGTATGCTGTTAAATCCCCTCCCAGCCCCCAAATACGTATCTGCTCCCCTGTAAGAACTGTGATTGGAGGTAATAAGCCCTTGGAAAAGAAGATGTGCAAGTACCACAACCCCTCCCTGCCCATTCCAGGAGCGTCAGCCAGAAAGTTAAAGTCTCATCACTTGGCTGCATTGATTCACTGCTGGGGGTGG